GAGGGTCAATTTGTTACTACATACTCTGTCTAGAAGCCCATATTTACGGACAAGCTTTAGCAGATCGTCCCCCAGCCACTCTCGTTGAAAAACATAAAAGACGTCTATAGACATCTTTGGCAGCCAATGAGTTAATAAATCCACTCTGGTTTATTCTCAGGTTTAAAACTAAAGAATCGGGCTAGCGTGCCCTTGTGGGGGACGAGGCAGGCAGAAGTCGGAGGCTTTTGAAGGCCCCGTCCCCCCGTCAGCTGCTGTTGTTTTGCAGAGGGGCTTTGGGAAGTCCTTGCCCTCTGAGGTCAAATCTGAACGCCTCCCAGTTCCTGCTTTGACAGACAACCAGCGCTCACACAGGCTTTTTCCTTGTTCCTTTTCATCGGCGGGCTTTTCCCCATAAGCAGCCCAAACTGGGGGGGGGACTTGGTGTCGATGCATTAGCAAAGTTTCACAACTATTAGACGAGTTGGTCTAAATGGGTGTTTGCGGTTGACATAATCCTCAGTGTTGTTTATCTGATAAGGTTCAGCTTCCTCTAGCCGACAGCGCCTCGCTCTAGATGAGTATCTATCGCAAACAGATTGATTCATTAGCTTTTTTATACTCATTCTGTAGACAAATAAGCAGCTCATTTGTAAAAAAAAAAAGAAAAAAAACCTAGTAAACTTTAGTTCCTCCAGCATTCAGAGCCTCTTTCTCACACATTTATCTCTCTTTGTAGGAGTCCAGTGGTGGTCCTCTCTGGACCTTTGTCATAATATCCTGCCCTTTGCCATGAACTGTGGAGTTTGGCCTGTGAGCGTTTGCTCCAAAATGTAATTATTTCACCAACAGCAGATGCCAGACTTCCTCTGGATGGTACCTACAGGAAGTGTTGTGACAGAGGTCTTATGACAGGGAAAGAAATTCAATTGCTCTGCGAGTATATAAATGCATTTCCATCTATCGGGACTTTATCGGGCCGAGCTCAAAATAGTGCTGTTCAGGAGGAAATTGGATCCCATTGATTTCCCTTTTTTTCCCCTCTCGTGACTTGGAACAGCAGTGAGAATGTTTTGTTTATTTGCCGAACTCTCAGAGTACACTAATGCCACACTGATGGCTTCATATGATGGGGCTAAAAATAAAGAAAATCATTCGGATAACAACAACAGGGCTCAGAAAACAGCTGACCTGAACGGCTTCTGCGGTTAATGTGATTTACTTCTGATTCCTCTTCTTAGCCACAGAGCATAAATTGTCACAGTTTAGTAAATGTTGGACCGGAGAAACCATAAACATTAAGCTGCTGTAGCTCTGGTGAGTCACAGGGACTGCTCAGGCCTTCGGTTAGCAGTGGTGGGAAGTAACGAAGTACAAGTGCTTCGTTACTGTACTTAAGTACAATTTCCGAGTATCTGTACTTTACTTAAGTAGATTTAATAATGGATACTTTCTACTTTTACTCCACTACATTTAACAGTAAGTATCTGTACTTTCCACTTCACTACATTTCTATACAGCGTTTCGTTGCTCGTTACATCCAAGACGCATTTCAGTTTTTTGATTTGTTCGTTAGTTTGAAAGTATCCAATGGCGAGAGCAGAATCAGTCCGGGAAATAATAATGATAATAATAATAACCATTAGGCCCTCCCTCAAGAAGAGCAGCACAGTACGCAGGACCTGCATAAAATATCTAAATCTAAACTGTCACAGGGGGTAAACCCAATAAAAACATGCTTTATCTGCAGCATTGCTCATTAAAATGGTGCATTACTGATTTATTAAAACTAAATACGATAGGTACACTTAATGACATTATGTAAGCCGTTAGGTATTATGGTTGGCAAGTACTTTTACTTTTAATACTTAAGTAGTTTTAAAAGCTTGTACTTTCTTACTTTTACTTAAGTAAAATAATAATGTGGTACTTTGACTTTTACTTGAGTACATTTTTGTCTGTGTATTTGTACTTTTGCTTAAGTACATTGTATGTCGGTTAGCTTCATGTCTCTAGCTAGTATTAGTGTTTGGAAATGAAGTTGTTGTAATGGTTATCAGATCAAATGAGAATGATGCAAACTATTAAAGAATCCCTTCAACCGGTCGGATTAAAGCCCCAGTGCTGACATATGATTTCTGAGTGGGCTGAGGGATGTTGCTTTGGCCAGAGGGAAACTGTGTGTGGGTGTTTACCAATTCTCAACAAGCAAAATCTTGTGGCTTTTTTCTTTCCCTCCTGGAAATAGTTAATATTGCTTTTTTTTATTTGGCTGTTTGATAAAGACCTTCACATGCTGAAATAGTTAGGTGTCTTTTTTTATTGTGAAAATAGCATAAATGTAACAGTTTTTTGAGTATTTTTATATTTAAAAAAAAAGTGTTTTTTTTAGGAGTTTCTACATTCTATTCGTATTCCATAATCATGCTAATAGTCAAGTCAAGTCAAATATATTTATAGAGCACATTTAAAATAACCAAAGTTGCCAAAGTGCTGTACGGGTAAATATACACATAAACAGCAAACATAATTTACATACATATATGTGATTTTAATGTAAAATAAAGAGGGGAAAAAAAAAGGTAAGAAGGTGCTCTACCTCAACTTGAGTTAAAGTATAAAGTATAAAAGTATGAATAAGAAGCCCCCGTTAGATGTATGACTGTATTAAAGCCTTTTTCTCCCTTAATACTGTGCCTGAGTGAATTATCAACATTTGAGTGTCAGCTCGGTGTTAGCGGCCCAGAAAAAGCTGAAGTCGGGCCGATGTGATCGGTATCTTTTCTGTTTTAAATGAGAGCTGAGCGCTGCGGTGGGCGGTGGTAGGAGTTGGAAATGTGTGAGTGAAGCGCCTTTTCTGGCTGTGGTTCTGATGCTCGTGGTTGCTGTTGTCAAAATTAAAAAAAAACACAAGCGCACAAACGTTCCCTGGACCAAAAAAAAGAAAAATCAGATTGAATGGGGCTGATGCAGTGGAACAATAAGTGTTATGTGCTACTTCAGACAGCTGAAATATTACCCATAAAAACTGTGAATAACGTTAAAGTTGCACCTCATCTTATCAGTTTAGTTCGGTGTTTCACAACTCACAACAGCCGCCCAATATTTTCTTCTTATCTACGTAATTGGACATTTTGCTATGCTGTTCAGAAAAAAAAAATCTGTTGCTGAAAATATGTTTTCTGTCTCCAGAGATTCAGTTGAACTGAGATAAATTAAAAAAAACAGAAATGCTTTTTTTCAAGCAGCTTCTATTACTCTGAACCAAGACCGAAACCGAGTTGTTACAAACCTGTTGAGGACCAGGTGTGATCATCTGAAGAGTGGGGCTAATCCTTACCATGCTAACATATTAGCCATTAGCTCTGAGATCTTTAGCATGAAGGCTGGAACTCAGACATCCGTTTAGTCATTTAAAGTCACTGTACATACATGGAAGATCTTCCCTTTTCAATCCCAAACTTAAAGGCTAATTTTATGTGACACTTATTATTTAGAAAACAACATTTCCCTGTGCTAACCATCACAGACTCTGTGTACAGCTGAGCGTTTGCCCCCTGAACGTTGTGCTCGGTGTGCCCTGTCCTATTTCTTTTTTCCAGTGTTGCACATCTAAAACTGCCTCGCAGTGCTTCAGAAAGATAAGGAGCGGCTCACAGCCGGCGCTCCTCACGCAGACGGCTGTGAGCTGCACAGATGGCCGAGGCAGGGGGAGCAACACAAAGAGTTCTGATTGGAGATAAAGCTTCCCGTTAGCCAAACAGTCGGCCAGGGCTGGAGTCAAATAAGCTAACC